TACGAAGGTTTACGATGTTTTGTATCTGAGTTTTGAAGAGCTGCCTGCTTATTTGAAGTATTGCTTCCTTTACCTTGCTAGTTTTCCAGAAGATTATGAAATAGATGTGGAGACACTGTCCTATTACTGGGCTGCAGAAGGAATACTTATAAGGTCAATGGATTTCGATGGAGGGAGCATTCGAGAAGTTGCAGATGGATACATAGAAGAATTGGTGAAGAGAAACATGGTTATTTCTGAAAGAAACGTTGATACTTCAAGATTTGAAACATGTCAGTTGCATGATGTGATGAGAGAAGTTTGTTTACACAAAGCTGAAGAAGAGAATTTCGTACAAACCATTGACACATCAACTGCAAATTCGAAATCTCCTTTTAAATCTCGCAGACTTGCTGTTGTAAGTTGGCATGCTGATATATTGAATGTTGATACGGAGGTGAAGAATCCAAGCCTTAGAACTCTATTGTTTACCAAGTGCAGAGGATGGAAGGCAACAAGTTTATTATTTACAAGGCATAAGCTAATGAGAGTGTTAGATCTCTCTTATGTGGATTTTGCAGAAGGGAAGGTACCCTCTAGCATCGGAAAACTCATCCACTTGAGATATCTTAGTTTAAAGAGGTCAAATGCAATTCAACTGCCTTTTTCTATGCGAAACCTGAAGAAGTTGCTCTATTTAAACCTAGATGTAAAATTAGATTTTGATAGATTTTACATGCCCAATATCTTGAAAGAGATGCGAGAGTTGAATTTCTTGTGGTTACCGCGGAAATTACAATATAAGACAAAGTTGGAATTGGGAAATTTGGTCAACCTAAAGACGCTGAGGAACTTCATCNCAAAACATGGGAGAGTGACAGATCTACGAGGTATGACACGACTCAGATCTCTCTCTATCTATTTTACAGATGAGTGTAATACCACGGAAAATATATCTTCATACCTACATGAAATGAGATGCTTGGAGAATCTTTCTATAGAATATGAAGAAGAAAGAGTTTGGGAATTTGTTAATGGGAAGTTTACAATATATATGCCAAGGTCACCTGACGTGCAGCACTTTCCTTCTCACCTTGCAACCATATTTCTACGTAGGTGTCGTTTGAAGGAAGATCCAATGCCGATTCTAGAGAAATTGCTTCACTTGAAAGCGATTAGTTTACAAGATGAATCTTTTTGTGGGAGGAGAATGGTTTGTTCAAGGAATGGGTTTCCTCAATTGAAGAAGATTTTATTTTATGGATTAGGGGAGTGGGAAGAGTGGATAGTAGAAGAAGGATGTATGCCTCTTCTCCATACTCTCAATATTCAATGTTGCTGGAACTTAAAGCAGCTTCCTGATGGGCTGCAATTCATCACTTCCTTGAAGAGTCTGACCTGTTATGGTACGGCAAGGGGATGGACGAAGAGACTGTCGGAAGGAGGAGAAGATTATTACAAAGTTCAACACATCCCTTCTGTTAGTTTAGATGATTCTTTATATTTGGTTATGTAAGAACTTTATTTTACTACAATAGGGACAACTAATATTTGTAAAAATAATAACATAAATCAAAATTACAATACCGAAATAAACAAATAAAGAGGAATTGCAGAGTCGAGATGGTGAACCTCTTTCCTTAAATTTTTAAACGCCCAGTAGTGCGACGATTTCATAGCGCTCAAATTCTCAGGATACAACTGCACAATTTTCTGATCTGTGTCACTTTATCAGAAGCCTAACGAATTAGCTTTGTGATGTATTCCTAGACTAAAAAAATAAAATAAACTCTAAACTATTCATATGGGGAAATGCGATTTTCTTTTGGTATTGTTGTGTGTGTTTTCTATAACGCTAACAAGTCATGATATAGAAAAATAATGAGAAGCACAAGTTTCATTTTCAACATAAAATGAAACCTGCAGTAATGGAGACTTTAATTTTTACCAATTAATATGTGAATTTATTCTACATTTTGACAAAAAAATTAAAGATTGAAATTATTATTATTTGACCCATTCAAACAAAATAATATACTTTAAAATGGTTTTATAGTGCTCAGAGTCCCAAGATATAACTACACAATCTTCTGATCTGCGTCATTCTATTAGAAGTCTAACGAACTAACTTTGTGATGTACTTTCAAACTCAAAAAAATAAAATAAACTATAAACTCTTCATATGAGGAAATTTGATGTTCTATTGGTATTGTTGTGTGTGTTTTAATAATTCTGCTAATAAGCCATTATATAGAAAAATAACGAGAAGCACAAATTTCATTTTCAACATAAATTGAAACCTCCAATGTGCACTAATGGAGACTTTACTTTTTACCAATTAATATGTGAATTTATTCCATATTTTGATCATAAAATTAAATATTGAATTATTATTATTTGACCAATTTAAACAAAATAATATACTTTAAAAGAGATTTTTTTATATATATTTTATCAACATANCATTTTCTTCTCAAGCGACTAGGCTTTGAAAATTTCCGTATAGAATTGCCTCGTTTGTTAGGAACAGAGTAATTACTCTGACACACCTACTTGTTTCATTTAAATAAATTTTTTATTTTTATTTTCTCACGTTTTATGAAGTTGTGTGCTTATGAAAAGGGTCTTATTAAGGATTGTGCTAATGAAAAGGATCCTATCAATGCAGAGTGAAATGTGTGAATCTATGTAGTAACCTATTTTCCAAACTGTTAAGAGTAGGTGATTCATCTGAAGCAGTGACTTATCTTGTATGCGTAAACATCATCATCACCTCTCAAGTATATAATGATTGATGGATTCATTGAGGAGTTGTAAAGTCGATGATGTGGTGTTAATGGATCGGGAAATTGATGCTTATACTGGCGCTAGAGGAAGATACTTGGCCAAAGATATTAACACAACATATCGATTTTCTTTTTGGTATTTTCATTTTTGTAACTCAAAATTTTTGCATGCTTCTGTACAAAGATTTATAGCGATTTGATTTCACTGAATAGTTCATCTTAGTCGTTGAAGATTTCAGTAAATATAATTGACACTGTATTCTTCAGCGTTCCAAGTTCAATGGTCTCACCAAGTTCCAAGTTCTCGAGCTGCTTCTCTAAGTATCTCCTCAGACTTGCCTCTGCAACATTAATCAGTCTCAGAGATGGGTTAGGACTACATATTGCGTTGTCTTTTTCTCCTCAGGTTCCAAGTCCTGAAGTGTTTCCCATCCATCATCTCCCCCACTCATTTGCCTCATTAATCGGCAATAGTTCAGCTTTCTTGGCCTCAAACAGTTCTTCCCATCCTTCTAAAATCGCCAAAAGAGCTTCTGCTAGTGAAGCTGTAGCAATACAGAAGCAGAGAGTTTAGAAAAGAAGGAAACGGATGTTTCAAACACTCGTTAGATCCTCTGGGGAGATCTCTAACCCTGGAGAAATGGAGGCCACAGCGATCTGAGATGATTTTAAGTGCGACCAGAGTGTTTGTGAGTCTGCTGGACCCATCAGCACCTGTTCAGGCAACGCTTGGTTAACTGTAGCTTTTGTCTTCAGGCAACGCTTGGTTAACATACAAGGACAAAAGGAAACATACAAGCATGAGGTTTGCAAACCTTCGTCATCCTCCATTAGTCTTAATACCGATGAAGAAACCATCAAATTTAGTTTTTGTGACTTGACTTATTCCTTCACCATTAGCTTTGATGAAAAATAGGGTCTCACTATCATCCACAAGACCAAGAACATCATGATTTTTCTGACCATATTCCAGAGGTAAATGATCCTGATATGCTAGCTGATACATAGAAACAAAAATTAGAAGACCATATATAGTAAGGTTTCACAAAAAAGATGAATCGACATACCAGATTTGAAGAAAAAACAAAAGTAAAATGCTCTCTCGAAGAAGAGAGATGTGCAGGGAATGAACCCTACTAGCTCACCAAAAAAAAAAATTCAAATTCACAAGATTTCTGAGTCTGTACGAAACAAATAACAAATAATCATAACAACTCATGGGCAGTATAATAAACTTACACATCACTGTGTTTCGATATGAAATATGAAAGATACAGAGCAGTACACATATACTGACCATATGATCAACAGGAAACAATAAAACAATCTTGTAAAGTTATGTGAAACATAGCACCAAAAAAAAAAATCTCGAGAGCTTAGATCCTTTGCTTGCTGAGGATGATCAAAACAACAAGAACACAAGTAGGCTACATAGAGGTCTATCACTTGGTGGAAGGAAAGCTAACAAAGCTAGAGAACTTGATAAAGCTTCATCAACCAACAGTTAAAATCAAAACTTATCAACAATCTGTAACTGGCCTCTAATGGAGACAAAGGGACCTAATCACTCCTTTGGAATCAATTCCACAACACAATGTAAGAACATATCAGTTTATTAGTAAAACTCAATAACGGATGAATCTTGTACCTGAGGAAGAGGACGGTATCTAGGAACGTAAGGCAATTTGACGTCGTTTAACACCGCCTGAATCACCAGCTCCAACTGCTAATGATCGATCAAGTTCCTCCATTATCGAATAGGAGATGATGAATTGCTGAGATCAGTATTTTCTACACATTTCTAAACCTAGTTATATTCCATGTCTGCAAATGCAATGTATAATAGTTGCATGTATAGTTCTGGAAAATGTTTGTCACTGTCACTTAGTAGTAGTATGTATACTGAAATGAGAAAATCAAATGTATCTATTTTTTAATACAACTTGTTTTTAAATGATTAGGAAATTAAGCATATATATCTTTTTAGGATGAATTGCATATTCAGTGTTCAATTAACTTTCATTTGTATCTCTTCCAACGGGACTTGAATATATAACCATTTAGATATGTATTGTTTTTATTTTACCATTGGAAATTTGGAACAGCTCTGCATAGGCAATATTACTTGTTTTTGTTAATGAAAAGCAACATGAAGTTTTGCATGTAAAAGTTAAGTGTTATTAAAATTGGGTCAGAAGAGGGTTTCTCTATTACTAAAGATTTGAGTGTTCTTAATTATGAAGGAGCAAGTATCTGAGCTGCAATGGAGGTAATCTTGATCGTCAACGTCTCCCAATAGTTGACTCCGACGATCGGTGTCCGGCGAAAGAAGTTAGTCCTCCTAATACACATTTTAACATAACCAAGTGCTTGATTCTGCTGTGCCTTCAACGCCACGTAATCACCACTCGACATGGATTGATCTGCACACGCAAGCTGAGAAACCACGGCCTTGTAGGCGATCTCACAAGCCATGAAAACGGCTTTGTCACGTGAATTTGTGGCCTTTGGGAGCAGATAGTCTCGGATTTGACTAACCGTGACAAAGCCGTTTTCATGGCTTGTATATGTTAGGTCGTGTTTAAAAAAACTGAAGATTTGATCATGAAAAATTACATTTAACTAAATATACAACATCAACAATCTTAACACCAACTGTATTTTGTTTTAACAAGATTAATCTTTTTCACAGCGTTTAAAGAACATGTTGCAACTTTTATTTCATCAGCAGAAGATCACATAATTGTAATACAACAAACTCGTACTATTAGGCCATACGTACTAACTATCCCCGTATATTTTCAGCCAAAATGTAAGTGGCTACAATAGATTCACTCCTTATCGTGAATAAATGGCTACACGTGAATACAGCTGGTTATTGTGTCGTTTGGTGTTGACTAAGAATAATCAACACTTTGTCATAGGTCTTCAGCTTCGTTCTAACTAAAACACATTCGCATATTTTCTTTATACAGATCAGTTGGACGAAAAGCGATCGATTTTCAAGAGGTAATTTTTGTTTGTTTGTATTTTGCATATTTATTTCATCTCAGTTGTTCATATCTTTCATAGATTAAATCCCACAAAATAGTATATATTATCTAGACTAGAATTTGCAGAAAATATATTATCCGGACTATGTATGAACTCAAGGATGCTTGCACTAGCGGTTATTGATTACTTATTTTATGTTTGAGCAGGAGACTTATGGCTGAGCTGGCACTTTTACCGTTGGCAGTCGAAAGGCTTTCGAACCTACTTGTCCGAGAAACTGAGCGATTTCAAGGAGTTGAAAAGCAGTTCAATGGATTAAAGAATGATGTTGAAAAGTTAAGGTGTTTTCTGGATGATGCAGAGGCCAAAAAACATACAAGTGCAACGGTAAACCACACTATCAAAGCGGTCAAAGATATAGTTTTGGACGCTGAAGATGTAGTCGAAACCTATCTTTTAATGGAAGAACTCGGAAATACAATAGATATGGAAGAAGATATAGACGCATGCCTCTGTGGCATCATGGAAATTGTAAGAAGACTTTATTGGGTTAGTATGGAACGCTGGGGACTTGCAAGGGATATGGAAGATGTAAGTAAGAGGATCACTCAGGAAATACAAGATATGCAGAGTTTTGGCGTACAACAGAACATTGTCAGAGAAAGGTGTATGCTTCCACAGGACAAACAAAGACAAACGTTTCCTAGTGATGAAGAAGACCATCTTGTGGGGTTGGAGAGAAATGTTGAGACATTGGTTGGCTATTTGTTGGAGGAGGGTAGCAGCCAAGTGGTTTCTATAACCGGCATGGGCGGTCTTGGTAAAACCACACTCGCAAGAAAAGTTTTCAATCATGAGACAATAAAAAGTCATTTTCCAAGATTAGCGTGGGTTTGTGTTTCCCAACAGTTTGAAAGGAACCGTGTCTGGAAGACAATCTTGCGACAACTCATGCCAGAATGCGATGTGTTAAGGATGATGGAAGAAGAACTTCAGGAGAAGATTGTTCGAGTGATGGAAACACAAAAGGCTTTGATCGTCATTGATGATATATGGAGAGAAGGAGACTGGGATCTAATCAAGCCTGCCTTTCTGCCAAAAAAAGGTGAATCTCCTTATTTAACATACGATTAGGTCGTCTTTAAAAAAACTGAAGATTTGATCATGAAAAATTACAAAATGTAAATCTGTTACAGGATGTAAGGTGTTACTTACTTCTCGCAATGAGGAAGTGGCATTACATGCAGATAGACAATGTGTCCCCTTCAAACCAGAGTGCCTAACTTTTGAAGAAAGTTGGGATCTTTTTCAAAGGATAGCATTTCCTATTAAAGACACAGCTGGTAAATTTTCAGGGACTATATATTTGGAAATAATTTTTTTCTGTTCTACCAAATTATTGAAAAATAACTACAATATCTGAAAGACGTATGATATTTTCTAACATTCATGTAAACTGATGTGCAGAATGTAAGATTGATGAAGACATGAAAGAAATCGGTAAAGAGATGATTAAACATTGTGGAGGTCTACCACTGGCTATTAAGGTGTTAGGCGGTTTTTTAGGTAAGAAGTGCACATTGCATCAATGGAAAATGATACATGAGAATATTAAAGCTCACATCGGTAGAGGGACTGGCTTTGACGATAGAAATATCAATAAGGAGGTTTACAATGTTTTGAATTTGAGTTTTGAAGAGCTGCCTGCTTATTTGAAGCATTGCTTCCTTTACCTTGCTAGTTTTCCAGAAGATTATGAAATAGATGTGGAGACATTGTCCTATTATTGGGCTGCAGAAGGAATACTAAGGCCGATGGATTTCGATGAAGTGAGCATTCGAGAGGTTGCAGATGGATACATAGAAGAATTGGTGCGGAGAAACATGATTATTTCTAAAAGAGATGTTGATACTTCAAGATTTGAAACATGTCTGTTGCATGACATGATGAGGGATGTTTGTCTACGCAAAGCTGAAGAAGAGAATTACATACAAACCATTGACACATCAACTGCAAATTTGGAATCTCCATGCAAATCTCGCAGACTTGCTGTGCATAGGCCTGATAAAACATTTGATGTTGATACGGAGGTGAAGAATCCAAGTCTTAAAACTCTCTTGATTATCAAGGGCGGGGGATGGATGGAAACAAGTTTGTTCTTTACAAGGTATAAGCTGATGAGAGTGTTAGATCTCTCTAGGGTCGAGTTTGAAGGAGGGAAGGTACACTCTAGCATCGGGAAGCTCATCCACTTGAGATATCTTAGTTTAAAATGGTCAAATGTAACTCAATTGCCTTCTTCTATGTGGAATCTGAAGAAGCTGCTCTATTTAAATCTATATGTATATTGGGAAAATTCAGTCTCCGTGCCCAATATCTTGAATGAGATGCGAGAATTGACATTCTTGTGGTTGCCGAGGAGATTACATGGTAAGACAAAGTTGGAATTGAGAAATCTGGTCAAGCTGGAGATGTTGAAGAATTTCTCCACAAAACATGGGAGAGTGACGGATCTACAGGGTATGACACGGCTCAGATCTCTTTCTATCTCTATTACAGACGAGAGGTATACAATGGAAACTCNTAAGACAAAGTTGGAATTGAGAAATCTGGTCAAGCTGGAGATGTTGAAGAATTTCTCCACAAAACATGGGAGAGTGACGGATCTACAGGGTATGACACGGCTCAGATCTCTTTCTATCTCTATTACAGACGAGAGGTATACAATGGAAACTCTATCTACATCTCTAAGTAAACTTTCGCACTTGGAGAGTCTTACTATAAATAACAACAAGGCGCTTTATACTCCCACGAATGATGATGGTGAAGAAGGATTTGTTTGGGATTTCGTTCATCTCAAAAAGCTGAAGTTGGAGATATATATGCCAAGGTTACCTGATGCGCAACACTTTCCTTCTCACCTTACAACCATATATCTAGCTCGATGTTGTTTGAAGGAGGATCCAATGCTGATTCTAGAGAAGTTGCCTCACTTGAAAGAGATTAATTTAGAAAAACTATCTTTTTGTGGGAGGAGAATGAATTGTTCAAGGGATGGGTTTCCTCAATTGCAGAAATTAGAATTTTATGGATTAGAGGAGTGGGAAGAGTGGATAGTAGAAAAAGGCTCTATGCTCCTTCTCCATACTCTCAGAATGGACTCTTGTCCAAAGTTAAAGGAGCTTCCAGATGGACTGCGATTCATCACTTCTTTGAAGCGTTTGTCCTGTCTTGGCATGCCAAAAAGATTGGAGAAGAGGCTGTCGGAAGGAGGAGAAGATTATAACAAAGTCCAACACATCCCTTCTGTTATAATACGATGATTGATCTCGGCAATAGCAAGTCAGACATTTTTGTGTTTATAGTCAAGAAGCTACGGGACCTTCTTGCCAGTGGGTGTAGTATGTAAACAATATCTTCATCTCTTAAGTAAAATTCCACAGTTGGAGAAACTTACTATATATATAATCGTGTCTTGATGCTTATATGAAGTTATGAACAACTAATCGAGCCTTTTGTGTTCTGCGTTTTTTGAAAACTATTAAAAAGACAATATTTTGAGAACATTTCTGCAACACTCTGCAGAGATCTCTAAGCCTAGAGAAATGGACGCCACAACCATATGAGATGATTTAAGTGCGACCAGAGTGTTTGTGAGCCTGCTAGAGCTGTCAGCTACCTGGTCAAACAACGCTTCGTTAACACATAAGAACAGAAGGAAACTTACACATGATGTCTGCAAACCATCGTCATCCTCCATCAGTCTTAATACTGATGAAAAAACCTTCAAATTTCGTTTTGTGACTTGACTTATCTCTTCACCATTAGCTTTGATGAAAAACAGGGTCTCACTATCATCCACAACATACATGAATTTTCTGACCATATTCCCAAAGAAAAGGATCCTGATATGCTAGCTGATACAGAGGATAAAAGTTCGAAAGACCATAGTAAGGTTTCACAAAAATATGAAACAACATCTCATATTTGAAGAAGAAAAAAGAAGTTATAAAGCAAGAAAGACAACTTGTGAAACTGCCACGAGATTTCTTATAAGCATCATCCTTGTAACGTGATTCCCAGAAGTGACAGCCACAAATTCTCCTCTTGTTTTGTTATTTCTAACTCTGGAAGGCCTTCTTGCTTCAACTTGTCTTCAACAACACTGAGATCTGATTCTTTCGTAGGGTAACAAAAGAGAAATATTAAGTGCGAGAAACAGGTCAGACCTGGCCAAGATTCCGGTCAGGCTCTCTGCTCTCTGCTTCATTGCAGAAAGTTTTCAGGTATGCCTAAAGCAATGTATTTGCAGAAAATCTCCTGCCAACAAGCATGTAAAGGATGAGCTGAGACAACATATTGTTATAAGTCTGCTAGAGCCATCAGCCACCTGGTCAGGCAATATAGATACCGAGAAGGATAAATCTCAGAAGACACCAAGCAACCAGAGAAGACTATTATAACTCTGCAGAAGTCGGCGT